GTTTGTTTTCCCACTCATTGGAAAGGTCTGAAAAGTTGTAATAGGTATGCCCCCCTTTTTGTGTCAAAAATATACATAAAGTTTAATAAATCAATTTTTAATGTGACTGGGGGCCCCTACATAGACCCGAAACTGCCACTCTCCCTTTCATGATTCGCGAATTCGACACTGTGCGTGCATAATCTGAACATCATAAATAGTTATTTTTGTCTTTACAGACATTGACATTGGAAACAAATTGAAAGAAGGGGGGGGGGGGTGTCAGTAAAAATTTTCCAACATACAACAAATTTGACAAACCAAAAAAAAAGAGGGATATGTCATTTGCCCAAACACGGAAATCCTATTTCGTGTGTGTATGTGTGTGTGTGGGGGGGGGGGGTCGAATTTCTTTCAGTACCATTTTTTCCACGGAAGTTGTGTATGACTCATGAATATATAATACTTTACAATAAATTTTTATCAGAAATGATTTTTACAACAAGAATATTGCTTTTTTATCTGATTTATATCGAATCTATGTTATTTGTTTGACAAAAATTTTCCGCTTTCCGTTCCGTTTTCCGTTCCGCGTTTTAGCAACACCCTTGTCACACCAGAAACCTGATCTAAAAATTTTGTGCGATTTAACTTATGTACCTTATCACGAACCCGCAACATTGAAACTACAGACAATGAAACGTCATGCTTTAGGGATTAAGAAATAAAATGCGGTGGCATGTGGACCACCATTTTGTAATAACTGATACATTACATACAGGGTGTGTCTATGTTTGCTTTCACCGATGATACCTGACAGATTTGGGAAAACAAGAGGTCCACAGGTTTAGGTTACCTGAGTATCATGTAACAACTTTCCAATAATTGACTAAGTTTGTGTTTTAAACCAGAGGCCATGAAATTCACAATTTTGAAAAAGTGACCATTGCTTACCATAACTATACACTTAATATATTTCCTTTGGTTACTAAATACTCCGAGGTAGATCAGAGTAACAAAGAGAAAATGCATTTCCACTGTATAACCAATTGTGCACCCCACCCAACAGGAACCACTGACCCTGCCACATATTTCAATATTTGGAAAATTTATCATTAATTTTATTTCATGAAAAATGTTTGATTAATACAAAAGATCTATTTCAAAGCATTAATTATTTTATGGTCCCGTTTCGATCCCGGGAGTAGTCTGTCTTTCTGTTTTTAAGTGACCTATTGCTATCCGTTTTCGTCGTTCGTTTACATTTGAACATTTTCAGCTTCTTCTCTGAAACCAACCAACCAATATCAACCAGTTTTGGCATAAAGCATCTTCGGATGAAAGGAAACAAAAATTTTGAATTTCATGCTCCCTGTCCCCCAGGGGCCTAGGACCAAAACCATAAAAAATTGTATTATCTTTAAAAACCTTCTTTCCTCCAGGACATCAAGCAGTAAAACTGTTGGTATGATTGCAATCAGCATTGAGTCCTCTACCACTACTTTCATGGCCCCAGGGTCAGGGGTTCTAGTGCTAAGGCAGGGTTAAATAGATTATCAAATGAAAATGCATTATTTCTTTGAAAATCTTCTTCTCTACTCCTGGGCATTTAATAAACTAACCAAATCCATAGTTAAGTTGAATATGTCTGCCTCTTCCAAAATTGTGAATTTCCTGGCACCAGGGTCAGGGGGTCTATATAGATTATGTAGTGAAAATGAATTATTTCTTAGAAAATCTTCTTCTATGCTCCTGGATATTAAAAAAGCTAACCAAGTACATATTTTAGTTGAATAAGGCTACCTCTTTCAATATTCTGAATATGATGGCCCCAGGATCAGGGGTACTGGTGTTAGGGCGGGGCTCTATTGATTATTTAGTGAAAATGCATAAATTCTCTTAACATCTTCTTTTCTTCTCCTGGGTATTACCACATGAACTATGTACATTGTTATGAGAAGGAAGGATGCATCTGGGTATTGTGAATTTCAAGTCTCCCGGGTCAGGGCTTCTTGTGATGGGGGGAGGGCTCTTATGTTTATAAAGTGACAATGCGTCAATTCTTTGAAAATCTTTTCCTTTGCTCCTGGGTATTATGGCAATAATCTAAGTACATATTTATGATGAAGAAAGCTGCCTCTTCCAAAAAAGGTTTATTTCTGGACCCCTGAGTCTGGGGTACTTGGAGGAGAGGGGGGGGGTACATAGTCTGAAAATAAATCAATGCTTTGAAATCTACACTTTGGTATTAATCAACAATTTATGATGAAATAAATTTTATGATAAAATTTCCAGAATTTTGACGTGTGCCCCCACAGTCAGTGGCTCATGTGGGGTTGGGTGCACAACTGGTAATAAAGTTGAATGCATTTTGTCTTTGTTACTCTGATCTACCTCTGGGTATATTAAGTAACCAAAGTAAGCACAAGTGTGTAGTTATGATCAGCAATGGTGCCTCTTTCAAAATTTTGAATTTCATGGTCTCTGGTTTAAAACACGAATCAAATCAAAGTGTCAACGTTATCACTATAGTAAATCAAAGTTTTTAAAGTAATCACTAAAGTAAATCAAAGTTTTAACCAAAGTTAATGAAGGATATGTAGATAACGAAAAGTATTCAATATCAAAGTCCATAAAATACAAAATAGGAGCTGAGCAAACTCGGACCTTCAAACATCAGAGGTGGGATCAGATGCCATGGGAGAGTGAACATCCTCTACCGACCGGTCACACCCGCCGTGTGCTCCTTGTCATAATCGGGAAATAACGGAAAAAATCCGTTCAGTGTAAATCAAAAACCGTTCATCGAAATCGAAAACCGATACACAGAATTATGTATCTTAGTGTAGTCTACTTGTGTGCCAAGTTATATTGAAATCAGACCAAAACTGTAGGAGGAGTAGCATTTTAAAAAATTGTTTACAGACAGACAGACGGACGGACGACGGACGCATTACTATCGCATAAGCTTTTCTGGTCTCTGACCAGTAGAGCTAAAAATGTCAGTCAGCATTTGACTCAATGATAAATTGTATTTGCTGGCAAGGTCAATGTATCGACCAAAGAACTTAGGAAATGATAACTTTAAACGAGACTGCTAGTATTCTTGTTTCATCAACTTGTGTGTGAATAATTTACCTTGTTAAGTTATCACTTTAGTAAATCAAACTGTCAAAATTATCACTATAGTAAACTATAGTTAACTTATATAGTATTTTTTGTCAGGGTAACACAAGAACCCCCAACCCAGGGGCCATGAAATTCATAATTTTGGAAGAGGCATTGCTGCTCATTATTGATTTATACCTAGTTGGTTTGTTTAATACCCAGGAGCAGAAATTTTGAAGAAAAATATTTTTTTCAATATATGATCAGTAGTGCCCCACCCTTACACCAGAATCCAAATTCAAGGGGGCATTAAATTCACAAGTTAGGAGGAGACAGTCTTGCTCATCATAACTATGTACTTGGTTAGTTTGTTCAAAACCGAGAAGCAGAGAAGATTTTTAAAGAATTCATGAAATTTTACTATATAATCAAACCCAGGGGGGGGGGGGGGCATAGAAAATAACCATTTTGCTAGGTATACCTTTCTTCATCATAAATATATACTTGGATCATATTGGCATTAAACCCAGGAGCAAAAGAAAAGATTTTCAAAGAATTAATGTATTTTCACTATATAATCAATAGAGCCCCGCCCTAACATCAGAACCCCTGACCCTGGGGCATAAAATTCACAATTTTGGAAGAGGCACTCTTGCTCATCATAACTATGTACTTAGTAAGTTTATTTAATACCCAGAAGCAGAGAAGATTTTCAGAGAATTAATGTATTTTCACTATGCAATCAATAGAATCCCGCCCTAACACCAGAACCCTGACCCTGGGGCCATAAAATTCACAATTTTGGAAAAGGCACTCTTCCTCATCATAACTATATACTTAGTTAGTTTATCTAATACCTAGGAGCAGAGAAGAAGATTTTCAAGAATAAATGCATTTTCACAATATATTCAATACAGCCCCGCCCTAACACCAGAACCCCTGACCATGGGGCCATAAAATTCACAATTTTAGAAGAGGCACTTTTGTTCATCATAACTATGTTCTTAGTTAGTTTACTTCATACCCAGAAGCAGAGAAAAAGATTTTCAAAGAATAAATGCATTTTCACTATTAATATCAGCAATAAAGCCCCGCCCTTACACCAGAATCCCTGACCCTGTTGCCATAAAATTCACAATTTTGGAAGAGGCAGTCTTGCTCATCATAACTTTACACTTAGTTAGTTTATTTAATACCCAGAAGCAGAGAGGAAGATTTTCAAAGAATTAATGCATTTTCACTATGTAATCAATAGAGCCCCGCCCCAACACCAGAACCCCTAACCATGGGGCCATAAAATTCACAATTTTGGAAGAGGCACTCTTGCTCATCATAACTATGTACTTAGTTACTTTATTTAATACCCAGAAGCAGAGATGAAGTTTTTAAAAGAATATATGCATTTTCACTATATAATCAATACAGCCCCGCCCTAACACCAGAACCCTTGACCCTGGGGCCATAAAATTGACAATTTTGGAAGAGGCAATTTTGCTCATCATTATTATGTACTTAGTTAGTTTGCTTAATACCCAGGAGCAGAGAAGAAGATTTTCAAAGAAATAATGCATTTTCACTATATACTCTATATACCCGCCCTAGCACTAGAATCCCTGATCCTGCCTGGGACCATGAATTTCACAAGTTTGGTAGAGGACTCAATGTTCATTACATTCATGCCAACAGTTTGCCTGCTTGAAATTAAAAGACTAAATGTCGAGGAACAAAGGCTAACTATAGAACGGACAAGACTACAGTTAGAGCAGGAAAAACACAGCATAAAACTCTGTCAGTTGGGCATTATTTCCAATGCCACTATTTCTTCTCAACAATAAATATTTACTTTTTATCTATTTATTCTTATTTACTTTGCACACAATACTTGTCACATGTTACTCTATATGAGTTGATGTACATATAAGAATAGAAGATATTGTTGTTTAAAACCTAGCATCAATCAATCGTCTTCTAACTTCTGATCCGTCATTCAATGTCCCACGATACACATTGTCGTTTCCGTCATTAACAACGGCTCTTCCAACTGGGTTTGGGACTCTATTGTCAATGCTTATATTATGCAGAACTGCAGTTGCAACTATAATATTGCAGGTTCTTTTAGGTGAGAACTGAAGTGTACCACCTGATGTGTCCACACAACGAAATCGCATTTTCCATACACCAAAGCATCTTTCAATGACGTTTCTTGTTTTCATATGAGCCGTATTGTAGGCATTTTCCTTCTTGGTGGTTGGGTTTAGAACAGGTGTAAGTAAATATGGTTTAAGTGGATAACCACTGTCACCTAATAGCCACCCTCTTGATATTATCTTATTTTCTAAAATTTGACAGAGTGTAGAATTGTTCCAAACAAATGAGTCATGTGATGACCCTGGCCATTTTGCTACTACATTGAGAAACTTTAAATTGGCATCACACACAGCCATGGTGTTAATTGAATGATAATTTTTAGCTCTACTGGTCAGAGACCAGAAGAGCTTATGCGATAGTAATGCGTCCGTCGTCCGTCCGTCTGTCTGTCCGTCTGTCTGTAAACAATTTTTCAAAATGCTACTCCTTTTACAATTTTGATCTGATTTCAATATAACTTGGCACACAAGTAGACTACACTAAGATACATAATTCTGTGTATCGGTTTTTGATTTTGATAAACGGTGTTGCCGTGGTAACTAAAAATAGAAATTTCTGTGAAATTTCTTTAAAATGCTACTCCTCCTACAGTTTTGGTCTGATTTCAATATAACTTGGCACACAAGTAGACTACACTAAGATACATAATTCTGTGTATCGGTTTTTGATTTCGATGAACGTTGTTGCCGTGGTTACTAAAAATAGAAATTTCTGTGAAATTCTTTCAAAATGCTACTCCTCCTACAGTTTTGGTCTGATTTCAATATAACTTGGCACACAAGTAGACTACACTAAGATACATAATTCTGTGTATTGGTTTTTGATTTTGATAAATGGTGTTGCCGTGGTAACTAAAAATAGAAATTTCTGTGAAATTCCTTTAAAATGCTACTCCTCCTACAGTTTTGGTCTGATTTCCATTTAACTTGGCACACAAGTAAACAACACTAAGATACATAATTCTGTGTATCGGTTTTTGATTTCGATGAACGTTGTTGCCGTGGTTACTAAAAATAGAAATTTCTGTGAAATTCCTTTAAAATTCTACTCCTCCTACAGTTTTGGTCTGATTTCAATATAACTTGGCACACAAGAAGACTACACTAAGATACATAATTCTATTTATCAGTTTTTCATTTCGATGAACGTTGTTGCCGTGGTTACTAAAAATAGAAATTTCTGTAAAATTCCTTTAAAATGCTACTCCTCCTTCAGTTTTGGTCTGATTTCAATATAACTTAGCACACTAGCAGACTACACTAAGATACAAAATTCTGTGTATCGGTTTTTGATTTCGATGAACGTTGTTGCCCTGGTTACTAAAAATAGAAATTTCTGTGAAATTCCTTTAAATTGCTACTCCACATACAGTTTTGGTCTGATTTCAATTTAACTTGGCACACAAGTAGACTACACTAAGATACATAATTTTCTCTATCTGTTTTTGATTTCGATGAACGTTGTTGCTGTGGTTACTAAAAATAGACATTTCTGTGAAATTCTTTCAAAATGCTACTCCTCCTACAGTTTTGGTCTGATTTCAATATAACTTGGCACACAAGTAGACTACACTAAGATACATAATTCTCTTTATCAGCTTTTGATTTCAGTAAACGGTTTTGCCGTGGTAACTAAAAATAGAAATTTCTGTGAAATTCCTTTAAAATGCTACTCCTCCTACAGTTTTGGTCTGATTTCAATATAACTTCGCAAACTTGTAGACTACACTAAGAACATAAAGAGACTTTATCAAGGATCATTATTCTTTCTATTGCTGTTGTTAAGTTTCAATTCCCAACTGCTGAAGTACTTTTCTCTTCCTTTGCTATAAGTACAAACCAGTAGAGCTTCAGTCTCGACAGAGACTTCTGGTTCCTATTCACGAAGACATTCTCTTCAAAACTTGGAGACTTAATTCCAATATGTGTTCCGTCTATCGCACCAATGACATTCGGAAAGTCACTTATTCTTGAGAAATTGAACATAGTATTAGTAATTGCAGTATCATCAGTAGGCATTTTTATATATCTTGGACTGATTTTTACGAGGGATTCAGACACATCCCTAACAATTCTTGATATGCTTGCTTTACTTATACCATGCAAGTCAGCAGTAACTGTTTGAAAACTCCCTGTGGCGAAAAACCGCAAAGCAACCATGACTTGGAGGGATGGTGGAAGTGAGTGTGATCTTCTTGTAGGCCTTCTGATATCGTTACCGATCTCCCCACATACACCCTGAATCAAATGGCGAGGAAGTCTAAACTCTGAGATAATCTCATCATCATCCATATAATCCATTGGATCATTTCTGTCGCGAAATATTCTTTCTCGTCGAAAGAGATTCCTATGGTTTATAAGAACATAAGCAGTCGCCATATTTAGTTTGTTCTTAAGACATCGATTTACCTTTCCTAAAGTTACGACATAACTTAGGAATATCCTAAGATAAGACGAGGTTAGTGAAACGGATAAGTAATGAACTTAGGAAAAAGTTCTTTCCTAAGATATAACTTAGTCCTAAGTAGGCTTTGTGAAACGGGCCCCAGGAGTAAAGAAGGAGATTTTTAAAGATTAATAATTTTAGTGGTTTTGGCCCAACCCCTCAGGCCCCAGGGGAGCGGGGACCATGAAATTCACAATTTTTGTTTCCCTTTACCCATAGATGCTGTATACCAAATTTGGTTGAAATTGGTCCAGTGGACGTGATTTCAGAGAAGAAGCTGAAAATGTTCAAATTTTAACACACGACGCACGACACACGACATACGACGACGGACGAAAACGGATAGCAATAGGTCACCTGAGTTACTCAAAATGAGTTACCTAAAAATGAATTGGCTTCTTGCACATTCCACGTTTTTCCTTTGGCGGGACACGAGTCTTTTCCATGCTTGTATCCACGGCGTGTACACAGTTTCTGATCATGCATCACTATGTTTTCTCTGTTTTGTTTCACTGAAGTTTTGCCTCTTTCCAGTGTCATAACTTTGAGAGTGTTTGGATGATTTCTTGTAAGATTTCTTTGTCAAGTTTACCTTTGAATCCTCTCCATAATTGTGCACCATTCACTTTGCTTGTTTAGTTGACGTTTCGAGCAGACGAGCGAATTCCTTCTCTAGCGTAAGGTTACTAGCTACATTGATCCGCTTCTCGCGTATAATTTTTGTGTTGTTGATGCCAATGACGAGTCGGTCTCGGACCATATTGTCGAGTTCATGGTAGTTACACCTTTCACTTACAGTTTCATATCAGTTACAGATTGGTCAAGAGTTTCACCTCCTATATGAATTCTGCTATTTTGGGCTTAACATAGACTTAGAATTTATCAAAGTGTACCATGAGTGTCTTTGTTCCTTTTCCTTTGAATTCCATGTGCAATATATGTCACGTCCTTTCTGTCCGACCCAGATTATCAGATATGCGCACTTTTCGTCATCCGTTTTCTTTTTCAGGGGTCCTGAGAATGCGAAGTTCACGTGCTGCAGAAAACAATTTCCACTGGCCTTCTAAATCGTCACTGGTCCAGTCCATGGTTGATGTTGATCCGGATAACAAATTTATCACTCTGTCTGTTTTACGGACAGGTTAATTGTCGATGGCTTTAATAAGGTTATTACCAGATTACTTCTGACACCATGGTGTATGGTACTAAGACGCCATGTTACATAATTGGAACTTTTTTATTGTGGAGATACAAAACGTGATGAACAAGTCATACGTCTGTGACGTGCATGATTTGGTTCTACAAGGGATATATGTACAGTATATAGCTTTTTCTCTTACTCAGTTTGAGTTAATGATTGGATTAATAATTGTAGGGCCGCTCTATCTGAGGGAAAATCAATTTTATCTAGAGACGTGGACTGAGTATGGTTTAAATTGCACCGTGTTTCTACCCTAGGTTCCTTTTGATAGGAAAGAAATGGGCGTCTCAATCTTCTGCAGATTTACTGCACCCAAAACTTACCATCAATTCCCTAGATTACCTGCCACTGGTGCTTATTCTATTCTTACCATTTACTTCTTCTAATGACTTTCTCTTTCATCGTCTTCTTACTTCCGCCGTAACCTTCTGAATGCCTGATTTCCCTAGATCATCGCTTTATATACCCTTGGAGTGGTCTATTCCAAGTGTAGTCAGGTCTTTCTATTATTCATTATTTAAGGTCTTCTCTGCGTTTATTTAAACGCCCCTTAACCATTACACGTCATATGATTCATATAATACAGGTCCCACAAAACGCATGTTAAACTCTGTGTGTATGTCGGTTTTTGATTTCGATGAATGGTTTTGCCATGGTTACTAAAAATAGAAATTTTTGTGAAATACTTTTAAAAATGCTACTCCTCCTACAGTTTTGGTCCGATTTCAATACAACACAAGTCGACTACACAAGATACATAATTCTATTTGACATCTTTTGATTTCAATGGACGGTGTTGGTTATTAAAAAAGGAAATTTCTGTAAAATGCTTTCAATGTTCTACTTTTCCTAGAGTTTTGTTCTGATTTCAATAAATTTGGCACATAAATAGACTACAGAAAGATACATAATTCTGTACGTCAGCTTTTGATTACGATGAACGGTGTTGCCATGTTTCAAGAAATAGAAATTTCTGTGAAATACTTTTCAAAATGCTACTCAAAATAAAGTTTTAGTCCGATTATAATATAATACCCGGTTATGGATTGCACTAATAAATACTTGTCTGTTTTGATTTTGATGATGTTGCCACGGTAAGTAGAATCTAAAATTCTGTAAAATTTTATTAAAAGCTTCTCCTACAGTTGTAATCTTATTGCGATCTTGCCACAAAAAGGGACATAATCAAGGATCATTAATCTATTTTTTGCTGTTGTAAAGTTTGAAGTCCTAACTGCTACTTTTCTCTTGCTTTGTTATGAGTACAAACCAGTAGACCTACAGTCTCGACTGAGACTTCTGGTTTGTTTTGTTTTTAAAATGCGTCTTGTTGATCCCTAGAACCAAATACATGTATTTTGCATTCGATCTAACGGTCTTTACTAAACAGTCTATAGTAAATGCATGTTTACCCGGATCTATTCAAAAAATTATCATATATTTTAAACTTTCGATTTTGTTCGATCATAAATATTATTTTGATGTTTACACATTTTAAATCCAGAATTGATGAAATGACTTTTAAAATTAATTCTGCATATTTCATTTTCTCAGATTTGAACTGTGAATGTGTGGGGTTTTTAACTTTATACACGAAACACTTAATAAGCAAGGCTACCCCCCCCCCCCCCCAAAAAAGCACAATGGTTAAACCACATTATC